TGCCTTTTCAAGTTCTTCCGCCGTGAATTCAATGATCGGTTCTTCATTTGTTCTTATTATGCTAGTCCTTATCTACGCTGCTGGGAAGAGTTCTTTGCACCAGGCGAGCTTCTGTTCTCGGGTCGGGTTATACGGGGGATCTTGCCTTCCGGCGAAACGAGTGGGAATCTGATACCCTTGTCTTGGAGTAATTCCAAAACTTTAATTTTAAATTGTGTCTGATGTTGGGGTGAAAGTGCTTCTGCCTCATCCACCAAACTTAATAAAAAATACTCCATAGAGGACTTCTTGTCCTTTTTCGCTTGCTTTGTTTTTAGGATATTTAAATATTCAGCCATTTGTACATCTCCTGCTTCTCTGGGATTGACTTCTCTTTTTGCCTTTTTATTGGTGTAGTTTCATCGTCCATAGTGTAGGTCTGTGAGAGACTTTCATTGCAAACACTACTAATAAGCGAAGAAATATCTGAATCGAAGACTGAAACTTCTTTTGGCACATTTGTTACAATTTGTCTGTCTTCTAGATAGCGGTCCAAGAACTGAAATGAGTCATAGTATGTCCACTTCTTTTTTTTATGCATGCACTTCCTGACGGAGCCGTTAGATAACCCTTCCTGCGTTTTCTGTAGCCACCTCGCAAAACTTGCCACTTTTTATAGTTACAGGTGCTGAAACAAAATGAGAAGTAAATATAAATAAACTAAAAAATAAATCGCTTTTTATGTGAACACTATGTAGATATTTTTTAGTGTTTATTTAAATTAAAATTACAAAAAACATTAATTTTTTGCATATATGCAAAACGTTTAATTACTTAAGTGTTTTTTTTAACTCGTACAGCTATACAGCTCCAAAGTTTTTCTGTAACATCCCGATTAGAATAATCTGGAAGTGCTTGATTATACAACGAATCATTTGCTCTAACCAGGCATATCAGTAAATCGATCTCCTCAAGACTCCAATTAACATTTTGTGCTTAAATTAAATATTTAGAAATTAATATTAAATTATTAGACATTTAGACTAAAAATATGTGTTTTATGTAGGAGAGTCGCTATCGCTGGAAAGTATTAAGGCCACAGTTATCCAAAGATTTTACTTTTGAATGTAAAAATACACCGTTTTTACTTTTGACAACTTTTTATTTTTTACGACATTACATCAAAGTCAAAAACTAGCGAACAGTACATAAAAACAATATAACTAAGGCTTAAAGATTAACATGAAATCTCTAACACTTCCCCTTAATCATAAGCCATAAAAACTTTCAAGCCCCAGCCCGTTGACACATTTTAAATGTTTAGGTTTGGATAATCCTTTGGTAAATATATCAGCAACCATTTCATTGGATTGAATATATTTAACTTCTACCCATTTATTTTCAACTACTTCTCGAACAAAGTGATGTCTAACATCAATATGCTTCGTTCTATTGTGAAAAACAGGATTCTGCGATAATTTTAAAGCACTTTGATTATCGCAATAGAGAAGAATCTGATGTTCAGTGCCAAGTAACTCTTTAACCAAACCTCTTAAGTGGATTGCCTCCTTGCAGGACTCACTTAAGGCCATGTACTCTGCCTCAGTTGACGAAAGAGCGACAGTAATCTGTTTCTTGCTTTCATAAGATATTGGTCCATTTCCTAATTTAAAAACAAATCCTGTGTAAGAATGGCGATCTGTTTCTTGATTGGCCCAATCAGCATCTACAAAACCAGTGACTCTTTTGTCAGTTGTTGGTTCGAACATCAAACAATAGTTTAATGTTCCTTTCAAATAACGCAGAACTTTTTTGGCACATTTCCAATCTATTATTGTCTTAGCATTTACTAAATTGTCTGGTTCATTAGGCTCAACATCAATATCATCAGCTTCCGTGTAATAAGTTACATAATCATCAAAATTTTTCTTGTGTCTTTCTCTTACTGGATATCTTTTTTCTTGAACTGTTATAATTTTTAACTCCCTTTCTTCTTCTCCTTCTTCTTCGGTTTGTTCCCCTTCGCAAAATAAGTTTCCAGTATTTTGGGTTAGATTTTCTTTTAAAATTACAGGTTCAGTAACGTTTTCATCTATGTAAATGGGTATACTAGGTACATTATGAGTTATACTCGGTATATCACCTTTTTCTTGGATTAACCCAAACTCATGTTCTGAAAACACAACATCTCTGACCCTTGTGATTTTCTGTGGGTTGGCCAAATCATGAAATCTATACCCTGATTCTTCATAACCAACGAAAATCATTCTTTTGCTTTTAGCATCTAACTTATTTCGCTTCTGATCTGGAATATGGACGTAACCAACACATCCAAAAATTCTCAGATGACTTAAATTTACTTTTTCACCTGTCCATTTTTCCTCAGGAGTTATGTTAGGAAGTGATTTATGTGGTGAACGATTTATAATGTAAACAGCTGTATTTGCAGCCTCAGCCCACATTCTTTTGTCACACTTTGCTTCCTGCAGCATACACCTAACTTTTTCCATTACAGTTCTATTAACTCGTTCAGCAATCCCGTTTTGCTGGGGATTGTACGGTATAGTCAACTGATGCAAAATGCCATTATTCTTTAGGTATTCAGTCAAAGCATGATTGACAAACTCACCACCATTATCAGTCCTTAATTTTTTGATCTTCAAGTTCGTTTGGTTCTCAATCATTATTTTAAATTCTTTGAAAGTTGAACAAACTTGATCTTTTGTCTTTAAAAAATAGACAAATATTTTTCTAGTGCAGTCGTCTATCAGGGTAAACATATAATTTGTTCCACTCCAAGACGGCACAGGCATTGGCCCACAAAGATCTGCATGAATAAGTTCCAGTTTCTCTGATGCTCTTTTATTTCTATTTCTGAAAGGTTTCTTGGACATCTTTCCTTCGGCGCAGGATATACAGACATTACCATTATCATCGGAAAAAGAAATACCAATTGCCAAGCCATTTTTTAATAGTTTCATAGACTTTCTATTCAAGTGACATAGGCGCTTGTGCCACAACTCATGAGAATCAATATTTACATTATTTACAGCTAAACAGGGTTGACAGGAATACTAGAAACATCGTCAGATATGTTCAATCGATAAATACCAGCTATATTCGATGCTGCAGCAAAAATTGTTCCTTCTATTTTACAATTTTCGGTTTTCATTATCCTACAACCAGTAGAGTCAAACACAACAACTAGTCCTTTAGAAACTAACTTGCTTACAGACAATAAATTTACATGTATACCAGGTACAAATATAGCATCTGTAATTGTTGTTATGCTATTCTCATTTTTCAGTTTTATTGGCACATTACCAACGCCTTCGCTAAATAATTTACAATTATTTGCAACAGTAACTTCAATATTATTCATTGTACAGTTGTTAAAATCAGAAAACCAATCTTTGCGGAAAGTCATATGGGCGGACGCACCGGAATCAACAAACCAATCGTCGCTGGAGACTTTAACGCCAAATGCCGCTACTAGAGATTTTTGCTCATTTGATTTTTCTCCGTCTGGCTTAGTAACCGATGCCCTTTTCTTGGGACAATTGGGCCTTACATGTCCAACTTCACCACACCCCCAACATTTAATATTTCCTTGGTTCTTCTTTTTAGGCTTAAACTTGCTCACCATCGCAGATTCAGAATTATTTTGTTTATTGTCCCAATGAGTGTCTTGAAGCAACTTAGTTTTTACAAAATCACTCATTTTAGCTCCTGAGTTCTCTATTGCCATAATCATAGGGTCATAATCAGAAGGTAGACCAGCTAACAGTGCAGCACCAAGAAACTCGTCTTCTACGGGCTTTTCCATACTAGCAAGAGCCATTTGAATAGACATAAACTCATTCACGTAAGTTTCCATAGACGTGAAATGTTCTAATCTCAATGAGCACATTGAACGAAGCAAACGAACTCGTCTATTTAAGCCTTTATCCTCAAAAGCTTTTTCTAAATTCCCCCACATGTCCTTAGCAGTTTTGCAACTCCTAATATGAGGATAACAACAAGGCATAACCATTAAACCTATTTTGGTTAAGGCTCTCTGGTCGCTTCTATTTCTTGTAGCCTCATCAGTTTTGTCATCAGGAGGATATCCATCAACAGCATTCCATACATTCAAATCTTTCAGGTACAACTCCATGCCATACTTCCAATCTTGATAATTCTCCCGTCCTACTAATTTGGTAATAGGAGGAAGGGACGACATATTTTCTAAATTAATTCCTTCTGGGCCCATAACCTGTAGGAGAGTCGCTATTGCTGGAAAGTATTAAGGCCACAGTTATCCAAAGACTTTACTTTTGAATGTAAAAATACACCGTTTTTACTTTTGACAACTTTTTATTTTTTACGACATTACATCAAAGTCAACAGTACATAAAAACAATATAACTAAGGCTTAAAGATTAACATGAAATCTCTAACATTTTATGTTATATCTATCATATCTATTTATTCAAAATAGATCATGATAATAACATAAATATTTACCTTCGGCTTATTTTTTTAAAATGTGTTTATTTGTTTGTACTGTAACCCAAATTTTGATCGTTAACCTTCGTCCAGAATGTCCAGATCAACCAAAATTCAAACAAACTCGAGGACGATCGCGGACGGTCGACGTGATCGAGCCGTCTGAGTTCTGCGTAAGGATAATGTCGCTAGACGTTCCTCTACTATTGTGGTTCAAAATTTGTTTTTTATGTAGGCAAGCTTCGAAAAGAAACGTTCTGCTTCACAATTAACTATCGGTACTGATAAGAAAATTTTCAGGATTGTATAAACGTTCGGAAATATACCAATTAAACTGTGATTAGTTCGTCAGTAAAACTATCATCAGAATCTCCCATACAAATACTCAGAATTATTTAAGTAAAGATATTTAATTCCGTTATTTCTATATATGTGTTAGTTTCTGCAATTAGCCAAACAGGTCAGTAATTTTGGAATAAGTTGAGTATCTTCTTAATCTAATTGAAATATTTCTACTTTGACAATTTTTATAGCTATTTTATAGCTGAAATGGAAGTGTTCAAATCACTAACATCTCCTTGTGCAATCAGCAGTCCGTTTAAGGCAATCGCCGACACCATCTGGTGCTCCTTTACCATGTCCTTTCTCTGCATAATGCCATTTTGTGGTTCTGGGTTCAAGTTGTGCCAATAAATACATTCCTATTAAATAGAAAATTGCTCGATTTCGATATTGGGTGGTAGGTACATCGCTGTGCTTCAGGGCCCGTATTATGTAACTCAAGCGAGAGCTCGTGCACGAGTTCTCTCTCACAATTTAGCGTTACTGCGCATGCCACTCTCCTAAAAATTATAAAATCCGTATTCTCTAAGGTAGGAGAGTGCTCACATACTCCTATGTAAGTACTCTACTGGGTAAAAGCAGGAGAGTAAGAGAATCGACTTGCGCACAATGTCTTTAGTCACAGAATAAAGATAAATGAAGGCCAAAATAACAGCCAATAAAATGTTTGTGCTATAACCTCAAAAATCAAAGATTAATCAACGTGTTTTACAGGTTGTTGGATTGTTGTTAAGTCAAAGAGTAAACGGGTTTAATTTTAATTCAACAAGTGGTTTAGTTCACAGTACAGATTTAGTTTTTATTTGTTGTTTGTTTTTAATAAATTCCAAGCAATCTCGTAATTGTCTTCGGCAGTTTGTAAGTTAGCTGTTACTTTAATATTGTCACTTAAACACGTTTTCAAATGGTGTAACTTTTCGACATTGTTAAGTTTCGAGTCAATTATACGTTTAAAAGTGTCGTGAAATGTGGGCCAACTTTGATAGTCTCCAGACAAAATGGGTTAACAGATCGACGATAATTTAATATTATTTGTTGGATCTAGTGACATATTTAAATTTGAAAATTGATTTGCACTCATATTTTGCTGCTGTAACACGTTGCCATCTTTTAGTGCTCTTTTTGCATTGTCGAGTATTTTATTCCGCATTTACTAAGATTTCTAAATCGGTCTGAACAAAGTTAAATTCTTCAAAAGCTATTTCTATTTTTTGTAATCTTAATTCTAATTGTGTTTGATCTTCCGCGATATCCGTATTATTTATAAATGTTTCAAAACGTGTTAACTGACCCTTTAGTATTGATTTTCGCTTATTTAAGTTAGTTATCTGTTCCTCTTGTTCTGACATGGTTAATTAATTAAATTTACGTGACGAATAATGTGAAATGCCTATATAATACATAAATGAACTATTCTCTTAATCTGAATTCTGAATTTAAAATAGTTATTAAAAAAAACAAAAAATAATTCTATACCAAATCGAGAAATGTTTATGAAAGAAAGAATTGTTTAAAAAATATGGAACAACTCACTGTATCGGATGCTTCGTTACTTGACCTTCAATGTTTGGAATCAGAAATCGGGACACGTGCTTTCGAGAACTGTTGAATTACACGTATGCGTTGTGGCTTCTATTGTGTTTTTTCTTCGATATTTTAATTGTAGAAGGACCAAAAACCATGTATGTGTAAAAACGAGAATTGTCTGCTTAATCGAGAATTATTTGATTTCTTAGTGGACTGTAAATTATTGACGATTGAATAGTTTCGTGAAATAAAACTGACATGTGAATGTTTCGAACGTTTTGTTAAGACTAAAATATAAAAATGCAGAGGAAAGCGATACGCCGATTTGTACGGAGCACAGGGTCGGTTTAGGCTCGTACGAGTACCTCTACTTTTAATTTGTTTCATACATTTCTAAAATATACATTTCTTAAACAGTCCTGTTTAAACTGAAGATCCTTTTTAATAAGCTGTTAAGAATACCTACCATTAGATGAGGAATGTCGTATAAATGTATGATTTCATCGCCTTCGCCATCAATCAGATACCCAAACATTTTATTTTATGTATCATTTCTCTTAAAATCTTCATCAGTTTGATGCCTTAAAAGACTAATAGCAGCTTGATTTGTAGATACTTGATCAGAAATGGTGCAATAGACCCACTGAGCAAACATTTCTTACAACTTCTTTTATTATTCTCATTAAATCTGCATTTGGTTTATTACCATCACAAAAATAAAAAGGCAAAAAGTCAGTTTCCACTGCTTATGTAAGCCCTTGTGCATGGTGCACAGGGACTCCTAGCTCTCGTAATTCATATCTGTCGTGGGTTCTAGACAGGATCTCTTTGAACTGGACACAACAACAACACCACCAACAATTTTACAAGAACTTCTTATTACACAAAAACAATTATAGAAGACAAAGTATAATACCTATAATAGCGTGAATTGTCTATGATTGATAGGAGCGCTTCGCCGCCACCAGCCACCATCAGTCAGCTGTCCTCTTACGTCGCTCTCAGCTGATTCTCGTTCGTCTGCCAGTACTTTACTCGCCTCTCGATTCTTCGCATTACGCGCACTTTGGACCAGCCCGACTTAGCTCAAAGCATACCCCGAATCTCATGTATTGCGCATCTAGGAAGTGAATTGGTAAATATTCTGTTGAGCCGAGAAAGTGTTTAAAAAAAGGTAATATCGTTTTATTTAATTCTGGTGTATTGGGTTCTACTTACTTTCGTTCTCTGTTGAAGTCTTTAAATCTAGCGCGCGTTGTTCCGAGGGGCCTACAGTAATCTGTAATAATGTGTTGATATGAAGGATATGTATGTTTAATAAAACATAAGAGTTCTTATTAGACTTTAAAACCAGCTTCTGGTATTATATCTGGTGTGTGAACTTCTCTTCCTTTATAGTATTGTAGGGGAAGTTGTAATATGTTAGATTGTGGTCGCTATTCATCTGGAACTGTTGATAAATCGTAAGATTGATAAAGCTTAAAAGGTTTTTTCTTTTATACATTTTTCAATTTCATTGGAGGATTATGTCATTTTCTGATTGTAGAATTTTTATTTGTTCTACCTCAGTAATTTTTTCTCTAGATCCATGGTAAATTTTAACATAGTCTTTACCGGCATACGCTTCTTTTATAGAAGTATAGTCCTAGCCTACTTTTAGAAAAGTTTCCATTCATGTTTTACTCTTGTCTTTCTTTTATTTAGATAGTTTCTAACTGTGTATGTTACATGTAGTGGTATAAATTAACTTACTTAAACGACAAAATGTATTTCATGCTCTAACAAGTATATATCAATTTGTATATTTGTATCCACTTTGATTTTTACTCACAGTTATATTATATACGACCACCTATTTATAAAAAAAAGAAATAAAGGATCATACATTTTTGCTATAATTAAAGTAGGTGGTAGTAACAATCGGTTGCTGACGTACGGATTCTTTAACCTCTTCAGGCAATTGGCTATTTTTAAACTTTACCGCGTCTGTTGGCAGGGATAGTGACATTTTTTAATCAACCGGTTTGACTCCTTGATAAGTTATATCTAATGTAATAAGAAAAAAAGGTTCTGCATACCCGCACCTCTTCTGCGAACTTTTAAATGGGCAAATTATAAATGTATGTATAGTTTCTTCTACTATTTACGGTAATTTCTTCATTTTTATCCATCCTTAGTCGACATCTCAATTTTGGGAAAAAATCGACGTGTTTCGAAATAAAATCCCTTTGACTAAACCCCACTATTAATCAAACACTATTTTTCTGTTTTCTTCACTAAGTTTAGTTGAACACTTTAAAATGCAGGAAACATTTTAAAATGCAGGTACATGGTCCTTTTTCGAGCAGACACAAGATTGTTTTTCCAATTTGTATACTTTTTTCCACTATTTCTGTAGCCTCTTGATTTTATTTCTTCTATTCACCTTCATTTCTTAATCGTTTTCGGGTTATTTTCTTCTGTCGTTTCATTATTGTCGTGTTCTTCGTAATTACCAAAAATGTCAGTTACGTTACTTTGACAATGCATCGATATATTATTTACATATATATATATATATATATATATATATATATATATATATATATATATATATATATATAGATTCGTCCTGCCGACGTTGTGACATCATGTCGCAAAAATGTTGCTATCTTTATAACATCCGTCTGCGATGTGACATCCAAATTCGGATGTCACTTCGTTTTTGGGGTTCAAACATCATAAAGGAGGTTTAAAAGGGCGCCAAAAAAATTTCAGCTGGATGTCATAATGCTTAATTTTCAATTTTATGTATATATTTAGTTCCAGTGTATAGATGCGAAGGTGGCGCTCGCGTCAGTTGGTTTTGTATATTTTGTATATTAAATATTTCAGTCCCTCGACTGTATAACATCCACCATTAAGTATATTAGAATTTACTCACTCGACTGTCTGACATCCAACATTCAGTATATTAAAACTTACTCACCCGACTATCTGACATCCACCATAGAGTATATTAGAACTTTACACACTAGGTTATGTGATATCCAAAAAATTTATTTTAGATATATTTGGATTTTCATTTTAAGATCTATTTTATGTTAACACATAAGCTGCCAAAATTTTTTCTTGGGTTTCGCATGAAGCCAACAAGTTTCTTAAATAAATTCACTCCCTGTGACTATTTAATAAATATATATTATATGCATCTATATTGATACAAGGTGTATCAACAATGGGTGAGTGAACGATGACTAATTTATATTAAAAGAAATCACACGAAATTAAATTAAAATAAATTAAAATAAATTAAAATATATTAAAATAAATTAAAATAAATTAAAATAAATTAAAATAAATTAAAATAAATTAAAATAAATTAAAATAAATTAAAATAAATTAAAATAAATTAAAATAAATTAAAATAAATTAAAATAAATTAAAATAAATTAAAATAAATTAAAATAAATTAAAATAAATTAAAATAAATTAAAATAAATTAAAATAAATTAAAATAAATTAAAATAAATTAAAATAAATTAAAATAAATTAAAATAAATTAAAATAAATTAAAATAAATTAAAATAAATTAAAATAAATTAAAATAAATTAAAATAAATTAAAATAAATTAAAATAAATTAAAATAAATTAAAATAAATTAAAATAAATTAAAATAAATTAAAATAAATTAAAATAAATTAAAATAAATTAAAATAAATTAAAATAAATTAAAATAAATTAAAATAAATTAAAATAAATTAAAATAAATTAAAATAAATTAAAATAAATTAAAATAAATTATAATAAATTAAAATAAATTAAAATAAATTAAAATAAATTAAAATAAAATAAATTAAAATAAATTAAAATAAATTAAAATAAATTAAAATAAATTAAAATAAATTAAAATAAATTAAAATAAATTAAAATAAATTAAAATAAATTAAAATAAATTAAAATAAATTAAAATAAATTAAAATAAATTAAAATAAATTAAAATAAATTAAAATAAATTAAAATAAATTAAAATAAATTAAAATAAATTAAAATGAATTAAAATAAATTTAAATAAATTTACATTTAAATACATTTAAATACCGTCAAACGGGGTGAAATGGATCACGGTGGGTGAAATTGATCATTCGCGCCTTTTTTTAAATCTTCGGCTGAAATTCGTTAAACGCGAACCGAACGGTAGCAAAATGAACAGATCTTGACGGCGCGAGGTCAGTACTTCTCTAGATGCGAACAGAGACGTTAGTAGTTGGTTTGCAGTGTCAATAAAAATTGTTGTAGGTAAGTAGTGAAAATGAGTAATTTAACAATATTTGAAAACAAACTATTATATTTAAAATTTGATAATAGTTGAAGTATTTTGAGATTTTTTATTATGTTTATTTATGTTTCTTGAAGGCATGGGTGATACTATATTTTCATTTTATTCATTTAGTTGGCAGTTGTGATTTTTTTTTAATCTCAATATATGGGGGTGATTTGAATCATCTATTTTAATTATATTAATATAATTTTAGTAACTGTTTTATCAATGATCACGCTCATGCACATGTTCGGACCCACTGACGATGTTTTTTTTTATAGTAAAAAATGCCAAGATATTACAAGAAAGTATTAGGGTTGCGACGAAGAAGAAATTATGATCCCGTGTTTCTAGAAAGAGCTTTACAAGCAGTTAAAGCGGGTCGTATGAGCATAAGGAGAGCTTCGGAAACGTATGATGTTCCCTATACTACCCTTAATCACAGAGTAAACGGAAAGCACTCCTCGTCGTTAGGTGGGCAACCAGCACTAACCTCAGAAGAAGAAAATAAATAGGTGGAT